CCTCTGCCACATCTCCTTTTCACTCCCACCCTCCTCATTTTTCAGCACAGCTTTGCTGGAAACAATGGCACAGCCTGCGAGCCAGGAATGGTGGTGGAGCAGGGCGTCCTTCCCAGTGCATCACTAATGCAGGAACGCCAAGCCCTTCCTGGCTGCACTGAGCACCAGATAAAAGCTAAAAGAGGCATCAATAATTAAAAACCACTCACAGCTGGTAAGTGCAAACAGGAGCCAACACACAGATCGAAGGCAGCACCAGAGACCAGAGTCTGTCAGCTGCTGAGTTGCTCTGAGGGCTCCCACTCCTCTTTGCAGGCATTTCCCCCATCCACAGCCCCATGGTGACGAGGTGTCCCTGGCACCAGGGGCAGGGCCTGTGGGCAGGGGTGATGCTCCTGCCTGTCCCCAGCTGCTCTGGGGACACATGGCTTTGGTGAGTGGATGGGGACCGGTGGGTTGGGACTGGGAAGATGCCTCGGGGCACTGGAGAACCTTGATTTCTAGTACAGCTTTGGCTCAGCTCCTGTTGACTTGCTGCCAAGCCCTTTCCTCAGTTTCCCCTCTCATCTCGTGTTCATTCCAGGACAGACTCCAGCCAGGATGAGGCCCCTGTTTGTGACAGCTGCTGGTATAAATGCCCTTGGAAATTCATGCTGTCTGAGGGTGCCAGGAACTTGTCTCCACTGAGTTCAAGGCTCCTCATTCAAGGGAGAAGCTGAAAATAGGATGTTTTGTAAATGACAGGTGGCCACAGTGAGCCCTGACTGTCCTCAGCATCACTGAGAACCGTGATGGGCTCTGCCCTTCACCAGCCACTCTGAAGATGTGCTGGGCGCAGGAGGCTGCACGTGGGGAGAGAGCACAGAGCTGGGTTGAAGCCAGGGCTGCCCTTCCTGGCAAGAGCAGGAGGTTGTGTGTTCCCCTGCCCTAGGCTGGTGTTTGGGGAGGGAGCTGAAAGGTAAAATCACTGGGTAATTCCAGCAGCAACAATGTGTTTTGCCTTGATCTGGGTTCAGATGGAGCTCCTGGTGTCCCAGAGCCCGGGTGGGTTTAGATTTCTCTGGTGGTTATAAACACAAAGGCTGTTTACAGCACTTGCCTCTTGATCCCGGCGTGGATTTCATACATCCTCATCCTTTGAGGCTCCTCCAGGCACTGCTGCCACCAGGCACGAGTGTGTGGCTGCTGCTGGGACCAGCTCCCCTCGCTGCTGGGCCTGGGGGTGTGAAGGGTTAACCTCCAATGTTTTCTCCCCACTCTGAGCACACTGAAGCAAATTAATCTCTGGGTTACAGGCTGCAGCTGCTCCAGGGCCCATGTCAATCACTAACAGAGGGCAATGAAGACGTGTGTGACATCCATCATTCCAGAGCTGCCTGTTCCAGGTTTACCTGTGTCACTCTCAGAGACAGGAGAGCAGAGAAACTGCCTAAGGTAAACTGGCAATTTTTGGTAGAGTTTTGAAAAATGCTGCAAAACATCTTTGAGCCTCTCCTTCCCTAGGAACACGATCTGAAAGGCTTCCAGCTTTTGAAACAACCCTTGCCTTAATTACAAACCCTCCACTCTCCCAGTAAGGCAGCAAACAAAACAAAGTCTCCAAAACTTTACATTTGGATTAAAACACGTCATTCCTATGTCCAGATACGTGATGCAGATGCAGGGACATGGATGTGCCTGCACAGAAGGGAAGGGTTTGGAGCTAGAGGCAGGTTGGTGTCCATCCCTGCCTGCGCCACTGGGTCTGCCCAGTGAACACCTGTGGCCAGGGAAGGGGAGAGGCAGGTGCTGAGGCTGGGACGGCTGTTTGTTGGGACTGGCAGGGCGTGGGGCACTCAGAGCAG